GTGTTTGGCTTTGTTGAGTTTATCAGAGCCTTACAATTTAACATAATTTCTGTATGTGTTATAAACATATGTGTTCTTGACCCACTTTGGAAAACAACCATCAATGAAATACTGGTTGCATAAATCATTCAAGAGCTCTGTAAAAATTGCTTCTCATGAGAACTGTTTTCTATTGAAGTTCACACCATTTGGTTTAGTTTCTCCATTACTTTTTACGTGCATGGCATTACAGATACTTATTTGTCTGAGCATTAGCTTTAGAACTGGTCCCATTATTTCATACTGAAAGTGTGTATTGTAATCCTGAAAAGCAAAATATAGTTGTATTTATATATATACTTTTAATCACACTTACTATATGAAAATACCATAAGAACTGACTCTTTATACTGTGTACAAATAGTAAAGTAAATCAAATAATAACTGAACACAGGTAATCCCCCTACAGAGTTGACAGAATTCTATCTGGGAACAAAAGTCCACATTAGTGGCTCCCCTTGAAGGATCAGAGCCTAATATAGTTTTATATGTGTACAGCTTAATTAGATTTTCTTTATGAACGTGTAATATTAGAAAAATGCAAAGACTTGTTGATATGGAAGCCTCATTTTACTACACTCTGTAAAAAACATAGTGAGAGACAGTCCTTGCCTCCAAGGCCTGCTCTACACTGGTGGTGTGTGTGTGGGGGGGGGTATCGATCTAAGTTACACAACTTCAGCTATGTGAATAATGTAGCTGAAGTTGATGTATTTAGATCTACTTACCGTGGTGTCTTCACTGCGGTAGGTTGACAACTGATGCTCCCCCATCAACTCCACCTACGCTTCTCACTACAGTAGAGTACCAGAATTGACGGGAAAGCGCTCGGCGGTCGATTTATCACATCTTCACTAGATGCGATAAATCGACCCCCGCTGGATTGATCACTCCAGAGGTAAGTGTAGACATGCCCTAAGAGTTTACAATCTAAATAGACATGACAAAGGGTCGGAGGTGAAAAAAGGAACAAAAAGGTTAAGTAAGTTGTCTAAGGTTGCACAACAGGTTAGGGGCTAAGCAGGGAATCAAGCCTATGTCTTTTGGCACACTAGCCTGTGCCCTAGACCACACTTTTAGGGGCATATGCTATTATAGAAGTTTACTTGATATATGTGAAATATTACACACACACACACGCACGCACGCATGCAGAGTGAGCTTTGGCTACTTGACAGCTAGTCTAGTATTTGTATACAGCATAACGATTTTCTTCATATGTAATCTGCCTCCAGTAGTTAAGGTGGAAAAGAGAACACCACTCTGGAGTAAAAGTCCATGCTTGAGAAACCTTTTCAAGACTGGGGCCTGAAAATAGACTGTCTCATTTACCTTTCCTTTTATGTGGATAGAAAAATCATTTTTAGAAATTCACCTACTCCTTGTTTATAGCCTTTGGAGATCCCTGTAAAAAGAATGTGTTCTCCACACTATGTCTGTCTATGTGGATTAGGCTATGTCTAAGCCATAGTGATAGTACCTCATGGCCTTAGGACTCATGAGCTAAAGGAGTGTCATTTAGTATAACTTTGTAATGTTTCTATTTTATTTTGTAGGAATGCTACCTTCATTGCTATACAGATTTGTTTATTATGCCTTCAACTTGATATATAGATCTGATGCTCAATCTTCCAGGGCATTCCTGCAATGTTTGATTAATTAGAGCTCCTTAGTCCAGCACTGCTTTCTAGAAGGTTCTAAAGCATACCCCAAAAGTACGAATACGCAGAAACAATACATTTGAATTAAGTTACTAGGGTATAACCTTCATTTATCACAAGCTATAATTCACAAACACACACACATACATACACACACATCAATATAAATATAATTGTTCTAATTTTTCTAAAATATCACATCTTGAGATTTTGTTTAGAAAAGCACTTACCACTCAATGCCTGATTTATGTCACATGCCTTGCAAATAAATATACATGGGGAAAAATGTAATAATTGCTAATTATATGATACATAATATTTGTTCATAAAAGCCAGCTGTGCTTTTATGTCACACAAATGCTATGTCTTTAAAATTCGACTCACACTTTTAGGATTACATGTATTTGGGGGTAATAAACATTAAACCCAAGCTGGTTAAATGATTTTTCCTCTACAGAGATACAGCAATGCAAACAGAGTGTACTGAAGTCATAAGGGTAGGTAGGTGCGATTTTCAAAAGTACTCAGTGTTGGCCAAACTCTTCTCCCATTGAATCAACACTATTAAAGTCAATAACATTGACTTCAATGTTAGAAATAGACCAACGCTGAGCATTTTTGAAATCCACTCTCTGTGTTTTGCTGCCTATTTGTGCAACAAAGGGTATAATCAGGCTGACACCTCGACATTTGTGTTAGATAAGAACACGATGCTTGATCTTTGGAACTAAATATTAGAAGTTCATGCTGTTCACTTAATAGAAAATCAGGTAAATAAGCCAGAAAGGGTAGATGGTGCGGAAAAATTTAAATTAAATATAAAAAGTTAAAATTGTCAGGCATGAGACTTTGCTATTAACCTTGATTTAATGAAGCTGTGCCTTGAGAAGGGCCTCTAACATACGTCAATTATTTCAATATTAGTTGAGTATGTTTCATAGAAGAAGTTGCCCTTTTTTAGAGGGGTTTTTTTCAGTGCTCAGTAGAATCCAAAATGTATTTGCTACCCAAGCTATGGAAAATTATTACTGATGGGGCTCAATACTTCCCATTATACAACCCTGTTTTCAATTGTTTACAACTTTTCCAAACTCTAACCATTTGGGATGAAATTTCTCATGCTAGGTGTCAGCCTTAGGCTGAATTTTGTCAGAAAATTTCAGAAACATTGGTTCAGTTGTTTCCAGGAATAAGGTGAGGGAAAAAGCATGTTAAAAAAAATCTTTAGACCTTTTCTTTTAAATGATTTGGTCCCCATCCTTTGGAACAGGAACCTAAAATTTGGCAGGGGTTGGCCTTTGTGTCAGGGAGGTCCCTTTTGCTGTCCCTGTGAAAATCTTCCCTAATTTGGCCAAATCAGGCAGGGATCCCACAGATAATAGGCTCCTTTATTAAACAACCCTAATTCATCTCCAGAGCAGATCCATCCTGTGCACTGAAAGAAGAAGGGGGGCTGTGGAAGAAACAGTATGTGATCATGCAATGAAGGACTGTATCATAATGCATACACACAAGATGTCTAATTAAGGTTTCATTGGCAATCTCAATACTGGCATTTCCTAATTATAGAGTGCTTGACTTTGCCACTTTAATAATGTTCTTACACCTTATTTGTGTGTGCAATTTAAATATGGAGAGAGGCCATATTAAGATACATTATGATCAAGTATTAACAATAAAAAACATTTTGTTCTATTTTTGACATGCTCTATTATAAAGCAAATTTTGTAGTGAAATCATGCAGCTTTGTTATAAATTATGACATACGAGACATCCAATGTAAACCATTATAAACTAATTGGCTCAAATTCATCTCCAGCGTAACTCCCTGGGTTTCAGTGGACATAAGAACATAAGAACGGCCATACTGGGTCAGACCAAAGGTTCAGATAGCCTAGTATCCGTCTTCCGACAGTGACCAATCCAAGTGCCCCAGAGGGAATGAACAGAGCAGGTAATCATCAAGTGACCCATCCCCTGTCGCTCATTCCCAGCTTCTAGAAAACGGGGTAGGGCATGGACCGGCAAACTTTTTGGCCTGAGAGCTGCATCGGGTTTCGGAAATTGTATGGAGGGCCGGTTAGGGGAGGCTGTGCCTCCCCAACAGCCAGGCGTGGCCCGGCACCCTCCCCCCTATTCTCGCCCCCTAACGCCCCCACCCCTGGGACTCCTGCCTCAGCCAACCCCCCTGTTCCCTGATGGCCCCCCAGGATCCCTGCCCCATCTACCCCCCCGCAGCTCCCTCTCCCCTGACAACCCCCGGATGCCCCACCCCGACTGCCCCCCGCCGCCCCATCCAACCCCTCCTCTCATTCCTGACTGCCCCCCGGGACCCCTGCCCCATTCAACCTTTCTGTCCCCTGACTTCCTCCAGAACCCCTGCCCCTGACTGCCCCCCGCCGCCCCCCTCCAACCTCCCTCTCCTTCCTGACTGGCCCCATTCAACCCCCCTGTTCCCCATCCTCTGACCGCCCCTTATGCCCTCTATCCAACCTCCCCTGCTCCCTGCCCCCTTACCGCACTGCCTGGAGCACCAGTGGCTGGTGGTGCTACAGCTGCACCACCCAGAGCACCAGGACAGGCAGCTGCTCCGCCCAGCTGGAGCCAGCCATGCCACCATGCAGCACGGAGCACCAGGTAAGGCCAAGGCTCTGCAGCTGCGCTGCGCGGCAAGAGTGCACAGCCCCGCCGCCCAGAGCATTGCGCCAGCGGCAAAGCGAGCGAGCTGAGGCTGCAGGGGAACAGCAGGGGAGGGTCCGGTAGCTAGCCTCCCAGGCCAGGAGCTCAGGGGCTGGGCAGGAGGGTCCTGTGGGCCAGATGTAGCCCACGGGCTGTACTTTGCCCCCCTCTAGGCTAGGGACACCATCCCTGCCCGTCCTGGCTAACAGCAATTGATCGGCCTATCCTCTATGAATTTATCTAGTTCTTTTTTGAACCCTGTTATAGTCTTGGCCTTGACAACATCCTCTGGCAAAGAGTTCCACAGGTTGACTATGTGTTATGTGAAGAAATATTTCCTTTTGTTTGTTTGAAACCTGCTGCCTATTAATTTCATTTGGTGACCCCTAGTTCTTGTGTTATGAGAAGGAATAAATAACACTTCCTTATTTACTTTCTCCACACCAGTCATGGTTTTATAGACCTCTGTCATATCCCCCCTTAATCATCTCTTTTCCAAGCTGAAAAGTCCCAGTCTTATAAACCTCTCTTCAGACGGAAGCTGTTCCATACCCTAATCATTTTTGTTACTCTTTTCTGAACCTTTTCCAACTCCAATATATCTTTTTTGAGATGGGGCGACCACATCTGCATACAGTATTCAAGATGTGGGTGTACCATGGATTTATAAAGAGGCAATATGATATTTGATATGCTATGATATTTTCTGGAGAATAACTAGGAATGGTATCTGACCTTACATGTTTAAATGAAAACTGCATAACTAACTCATTTAGGCCAAAAGTTGCTCTTGTACCCTCATGACATGAATTGAGGTGAAGCAGAGTGTTAGAAGTTAAGTGATGGGGTCCTGAGCCATGCTGCTTGTGCAGGGTAACATGGCTCAGGAGTTTAGGGGAGCTCACTCTACAATGTCCCCTATTGCTGCTTGATAAAATGTGCAGAGTGCTTGATAAAATGCCAACATTTGTTGAATGGTGGCAACATGTGTGCAGGAGGGTCAGTGGTCTTGTCAAGAGGTATATGTCCCCTCAGCATTGCAAAGTACCTTAGTCAGGCCTCGTACTCAAGGGGTAGCACTAAATCATGCCTAGTCCTGTTCTCTTAGAGGTGAATTGAAAGGAAGACGTTCTCTGCACCATCTTCTCCAGACAGGGCCGAATTTTGCTATTATTTGCTAATTCTGTCATCAGTGAGTCCCAACACTTTTGCCCTAGAGTTATATTCATCTTAAAGAAAAAATAGTGGCCATTGTGAATGCCATTTTAGTCCTGGTTTTGAGCTTCATGCCACTAAAAAGAGAGAGGTCTTGAGTAACAAGAATTAGCAGTGCTGGCACCAGAATTCACTTCACCTGATGTCATCCCTCAGTACCTAAGTGAGCAGAGTTAGTAGCACTCTTACTTTAAACTGCAGTGATAAAACAGAAAAGGCTCTTGCCCAAGATAATGACCCCCCCAAAAAAAGATAACCTCACAATAAAACCAGCAACACAGAGTTTGCCTACTCTGCCAGTTGTAATCAAAAATGCCATTAGTACCTGATTTTAGATTATGAAGAATACTGTTTAGGTAATATTTACTTTTTTTGGAAAGCTTCTTAGGTACATAATGAGACAAACACGATGATTGTCTTTTGTGGCTGCTGCAAACTTCCTGCATGCAACAAATTCCTTTTTGTCTTTTTCAAAGTCAAATACTAAGGAAAATACTACTTTCTGACTCCATTAGAGTGTGAGCATATGAGTCAACTTCCAGAGCTGAAGCCATAAATACAGGGTTCATTTAGTATTAAGAAAGAAAGAAAGAAAGAAAGAAAGAAAGAAAGAAAGAAATTACATAGGGTTACCAACTCTGAAGCAGTGAAAAATAGGACAAATGTAAGGTATACACGTCATAATATATACCAGCACAATTACTGGAGGATATAGAACACAGAAGGAAAATTATGTTGCCTCCCTCCAAGCAAAACCCTGATTTTTCATAACACATAAGAAAAAGAATTGAATCGGTGATCCCTTCCTTTCTCTGCTTCTCAGAGAACTGGTCATCAGAAATGTTGCAGCAATTTTCTATTTGCAAGCTATATATTAGTGCTGTGTGAAATATTCACTGCTAAAGGGAAAAGATTCAAATGTTCCTCCTTTTTAATTTCATGGAGCTTCCAACATTAGAGTTAGTCAAAGATTTCTTTTGTCCACTGAAATGCACAGAAGAAGAATATATTTCTTATACACACTGAGAATTTTCTTTTGACCTTAGATTCCTTTTAGAAAACTACTTCTTCCCTCTCCCAGATAAGAACTGATTTTGACTTTCAGGAAGGAAGACAGATTGCTAAAGTAACTGGACAGAACACAGATGTTATTTTTCAAAATCAGAAAACCCTCTGGGGAACCCTGGGATGAATTTTGCATTAATTTCAGGGTTTTTTTTAAAGAAAACTAAGAAAAGAAACATGATATTAGCATTAAAGGCCTGATCCAAAGCCTGTTGAAGTCAATGAGATCAAGCCCTAATCACTTTGAAAAGGAAATAAAAGAAGAACAGAAGAAAATGAAAGAAAACAAAAAACCAAAGTTTAACAGTTGGTTGTAAAGATATTTGGGACCAAAAAACTAGCTCATTGGTGGAGAGGGGTTTGTCTCTATAAAACAAGGACAGTCAAATAATCCATTAGCGTGAAAGAAGGAGGATAGGGGTAACAGAGAGAGTGAGGATGAAAGACAGAATGAAGGATTCTAGAATAGACTTGGGGAAAAACAGACGAATTTCAATGCATATTGTAATAGCTTCTGGCCATCTACTTGCTCACCTGCATATGACTCCCCTCTGTGCATACATATTTCCATGCTTTCACTTTGATGCAGTATCTGGTCCTCTGTTTGATAAGGAAATACATTAGAGATCCAATTAAAATGGGAGGCATATTCCTCTGTCATTCCTATACCATTGAGTCAGCAAAGAAAATGAATGAATGACAAAAGTGTCAGCAGTAAACCATATTTTATTTAATATTTCTCCTTGATGGTAATTTAAATATGCACCTTTTAAAATAAAAACGAAACCTGCAGAGTTCTAATTTATCATGCAGTAAGTTCCAAACTTAATAGATAAATAAAAGTTGTGTACCTGAGTTATATATAAATTTAAATTAAATATATATATATATATATGTATTAGTGCTCCAAAGTGACCTAAATGCCTTTGAAAATCTCACCTAATATTTTATTGTTGTTGTTAACAACAAATGTGAGGTTGAAAGTGTGTTTCACTGGAGTACAGCCAACTCTGATAACACTGCTCTACAGCCAAAATGCTTCTGAAATAAATGTAGTCAAACTTTACTAATTCTGGGTCACTGACAACGAAAATGATGGTTAAAATTGTTGATTGGCTCTAGTTTTTAAGATATGGTATTGGGTCAGTATATACGACCCTTGACCTGGGAATGGCAGAGGAG